CGGGCTATACCTGGTGTTTCTGTGCGCACATCCAATCTTGATGAAACTAATTCTAAATTTGTTTTGCAGATTGTGTATGCAATAAAAGAAGAATAATTTGGAAAGAGTAAACGCTGTTTCCCGGATTTCTTTAGCTTTTGCGTCATTGATTCCCCACAACGCACGCGTTTTACCTAGTGCCGTGTCCGTCATCATGGGCGTCAATCAATGGGGGGGGGGGACATGTCTCCCCCCCCCCCCACTTGTTTAAAGTAGGAGATATGTATGGTTTGTCTCCCATGTAGCCTATATTTGATTATTAATTACTCGAAATCACCCAATCTCGAAATGATTTCTAAATGATCTTTTTCCTGAAAAAGAAGGAAAAGAAAATTGGTTGAAGTGGTCAGAAATTGCCTCAGATCGCGCCACAGAGCATCCAGCATCTAGTAAAACTGCCCCTTGATGGCACAATTTTATTGGTGCCCCGCTCACAACATTACAACTGTGCCCCTCCAAGGGCAAATCCAGGAATTTTGCAGGGGGGGGGGGGGGGGGTCATCAGCAAAACATTCTGAATTGTAGACAGCTTTTTTTTCTCCGGACCCTTGGCTTCCGAAAATCAAATGGGGGGGGGGGGGGGGCGCCTCGTACAATACTTTTAGTGTCGGCGCTGTTCAAATCCGACTACATGTACATGTAATAATCCCTAACCAAGCTGGCTCGGAGGTAGTTGTGCACTGGCGGACATTATATTACCATTATAATTTTTCAGGGTTTCACAGCATGGGGTAGAGGGGGTGTCGCATTATTTTTAAGGAACTTCTATGAATTGGGTTTTTTGTTTTTGACACAGTACATGGGACCCACTCTCCCTGGATCCGCGCCTGTTTGCCGATGGAAAACAGCGCCCTCTCAATGGAACTAACAGTTACATGTATTCGGAAATGAATTTGCTTGTGAAAGAAACATGCGCACAAACTTCGTAATCTTATACTGGTGTTGCTCTGCTGCACATGTATCGTATCATTCTAAGACTTGTGTATCGTTGCATATGGCCTAACCATGGAGGAAGGAATAGCCTAACTCAACCCAAGACGTACGTATTGTATAGTGTAAATTGTTGCATAACAATTTGTTTAGTAACCGCTAACTAAAGACTGCGGTTTCTCTTTTGTCGTTCCAAACAAAAGACTCTTATTTCTCAACAACCTGCACGTGTCCTCGCTCATTAAGACACATTGGTTAGACGATGACTCCAAGGTAACCGAGTGGCCTAACGGTTAGATACGCTGTTCACAGTAAGCGGGGCCCCGGGTTCGAATCCCGCCGGGGTCATTTTGGTTTTTAACGTACGCATTCAGCCATTGACTATAAGAGATTTAATTTCCCATCGTAAATCACCAACAGTACCTTAGCTTAACCGGTAAGCACTGCTGCTGGTACTGTCCGTGAGTTCCAGGTTGGCGCCTTCGTACAGGTTCAGGGCACGTACTGACCACTCGGGGGTCAGGGCTTAGGGTGCCGCCCTGTTCCTCCCTTAGCTCTTTGCTTTTACATGGTGCCTGGCCCTCCGGGGTTATATGGATGGATAGGGAAGGAAGTGTGTATTGGTCGGGGACGCCGAGACCCCGGAAGAGAACTAAGGGATATGCTGGGGCATTGTTATGGCTCAGACCGATCCCTGAAAGCTTGACTAGCACATAACTTTTTGTTTTATTCATCACAGACACTTGCAAGTATTAATTCACGGAATATTTTTTACGCTTTTTTTTTTAATGCAGGAAAGAAACAAAAACAGTATCCGCATTAAGCCTATAATACAATCTGCAACAAAATTCATTGAAATATTAAGTGAAAACATGTATTTTGGAACCGTATGTATTATGTGCATTTGATAAAATTATTTAAACTTGAAGCTTAGCATGGCGGATGAGATTATAAAGCTTGCGGGTAAGACAGTGTGCTCTGTCCGTCGAGTTCTACACTCAACCAACCGGTTCTTTTCAGAACTACATGTACACTTCCTCCATGAAGAAATTTCCTTCCACATGGTGTTACCCGCAAAATTTATGTTTATTTAAAATTATGAATTTTTGTTTATTGTTTTATTAATTTGTGTGCTGGTACTGTCTGCGAAGTCCAGGTTGGAATCTTCGCACAGGTTCAAGGTTTGTGGCCGTCCACTTGGGGGACAAGGGCTTAGGGTGCCACCTTGTTCTAGCGCAGATGGGGGGGGGTGCTTCAAGGGGTCAAACCCCCCCCCCCCCCCCCCCCAGCTCCGTCAGTTTTTCCATAGATTTTTTTTGAAAAAAAATATGCTAACGGGCCCCGCCCTTCTGTTCTGAAACCAGAAAACAATTATACTGGTATTCATAATACGCCAGTGCCAATGGGCCCAAAATACGTTCAGAGCCTGCTGAGTTACGGGGTATTCGCCTCGGGTGCTATGCGCCCCTCGGGTGTTCAAAACGTCATGTCAAACATCACAACGCTCAACAACACAAACAAGTGGTGTTAATAATCGTACGTCGGATTTGAGCAGCGCCCCCAGTGGAACTATGGTACGCCCCCCCCCCCTCCCCCTCCGATCCCCGCCTATTGATTTCACGGAGGCCAAGTGTCCGGACAAAAATACTGCCTACATTTCAGCATTGATTTGCTGATGAAACACCCCACCGCAAAAATTCCTGCCCCTGTTGGCCCTCCCTTTTGCATGGTGCCTGGCCATCGGGTTATGTACAGGGAAGGAAGTGTGTGGGCTGGGACCGCCGTGATTCCTGAGTCCTTTGATGGGAGTCGGTACATGTACTTGTAATGGGCTCATTGAATTGGGTCATGTCCGTACACCTCAATACTTTAATTTTTAAAATTAAAGAATACTTTAATTTTTAAAATTAAAGGATTTATAAAACAAAGGAGGTCTGACAGGATTGGTGTACGGTGGCACATTCACAATCAGAAAACGCATGGTTTTCATGATATTTTCCACAAAAATGATGCATTATAGTTATGATTGGACATGGTTAGATTGGAAAGTGAAGATAAGCCCAAAGATGTCAAGTAGGCCTGCTTGCAAATTTGTTGACATCCAAACCTCCGCTGAAAATTTGTCAGTACGAATTTTCAGAAACAAACTGCACGACTCTTCATAGGATTCCAAACACTGTAATTTGGGTCTATTATACAGTCTTTGAGGTATATACATGTATTTTAAATATTCGTTTTCTCTAAAGGCGGAAAGCAGACGTTGGACTGTTTGTGCAACTTGGATAAAAAAAACCTAACTCTGCAGATTGACTGCAAAATCAATTACCTCAGTCATCTTCTATGCATACCCGATTAGTTTTGCATTGGAGCATTGAATGAAAAGTAATTCCAAGATGAGATTTGAAGGTTTGCATGGTGGAAAGATACCAAGACAAGATAAGTTTGCGGTAGCACCATGTGAAAAAATCTCTTTTGTGAGTATGTGTGGTTCTGAAAAGAACCGGAGGGACTCAACGTTTCGAACAGTATGCTCCTGACGACGGGCAGAGCATACTGTTCGAAACGTTGAGTCCCTCCGGTTCTTTTCAGAACCACACATACTCACAAAAGAGATTTATTCACATGGTGCTACCGCAAACTTATCTTGTCTTAGTAATTTCAAGATGACTGAGACAATCCGTCGGTTAAAAACTGCGGTGTTCCTTGCGCATACAGCGATCACGGGCTAATGCATTTATTCCAAAGATGTTGAGTGCGCCCGCCATAGTGACTGGCAGCCCTGAGTCATGTCGGGTTTTTATTTATTTCCAATGGTTTTATTTGATCAATCTGTAACTTCATCAATCCGTTACAACTTTGTTGACGCGTGTTGAGTAACAACAATAATACGATGGCGTCATATGACATACGACGATAATTCGTCATGCATGTCGAGAACGCTTATTTGGTAAAGATTGTGTGTGTGTGTTTGTAAGTAGCAGTACGTTTATTTTTAGACAGAAAGTAGTAGGGCCTATGTCCGGTTAGCCTTTCGCCAAGGCCATCGTGGCTTAACTTGTCTGCATTAGACAAAGTTGCGAAACTCGAGGCGACTGGAGCGGAAGACCAAACACGCGAGTGGCGAAGCCACGAGGGCCTTTTCCAACTTGTAAAGAATTTCTTATGTTTTTCTTTTTAATCTCGAGATTTGCTACCCCAAAAGGGTAGCAAAATTCCAACCAATCATCAGCCTTTTAGTGCGCGTGTTGCTACTATACCCAGACGCGTCGACACGCCCGGATGCTTGCACAAAATTTAAAAACAAGAAATGTGAGTCTAGTTTTCCACGAGATCATAATCGCGTAATTGTTCTTACATTATCTTATTTAAATTTTACTTATGAAAGTATTTCAAGAAATTATTAAGTGTATGAACTTATTTTTCATCTGAACTTACAGTTATTTGCTCTTACGTTTTCCTTACTCACCCTTCTTTCACAAATGGAAGCAACTAGGCAAAATCCGCGTCAGTGTGATAACCTTTCAGCACTCTTCTTATTTGCATAAAAAACTATGAATAATTCAACAAAATCAAGTTGGAAAAGGCCTCGTGGCTTCGCCACTCGTGTGTGCTGACTTAATCTTTGCTCCAGTCGCTTTGTGCCTTCGCAGCTCCGCCGCTCTAAGCCACGATGGCCTTGGCGAAATGCTAATGTCCGGTCCTTTCGCGATGTTGTGAAGACTAGGAGCAATGACCGAGGCTTCAATACTGTCAGCGGCCGTTTTATGAAGAGTAAAGCAACACCGGAACGAGCCAGTCAAGTTTCAACCTGTCCAAATGTGCGTTGAGGCATGCGGTTTCCAAATATTAAAAGTCGCGTCGTGCCTGTACTTTTGAGATGCATGACGCCCTCAACGTTTGACGACTCTTCAGAGTCTGTTACCTGCCTTGTTTGATTGGTCGGTGAGGATATGGAAGCAGTGATAGGGCGGCGGGATGCATGGATGATTGCGTCGTTGATCCGAATAGCCAGCGTGCGTGATAGTGCACATCATCAAATGATGCGATGGTCAAAAGACTGGGAAATTAGCAGTTGCGGGCAATCTGCGCGTGGAAAGGAAGCGTCTGCACCGATTTGTGGAGAATTTCCTCGGTGGTAATGTTCAGAGACAACTTACACAATACACGTGGGTGGCTTTTCTTGGTCATTTGCTGCGGAGTCACAACCACGGTTCGTGTGCTCACAAGCTGACACTGTACCCGTAATTTAAGGACGTTATCAGCGAAAGGCGCACGGAGATCTAAAGTGTACTACTTTTCCCCGGTGAACCGGGAGAACCTGAGAATATCGAGGGGCACGCAAACTTCAAGTAACGACTCTTCTTCCCGCCTGCCGACGATCGGATGAATGTTCCGAAAACTGAAATTTTTCTTCATTTATCACTACTGCACTTTCCATGCAGATGAAGTAATCAAGAAAATAATACACGCGCCATCTCAAGTAGTACTTCCATCAAGGTGAGATTTCGTTAGTTGGACAACGGGCTTGTCTTTTCCCCTGCAAACGTGAAAACGATTTCTTGGTTTCTATTTGGTCACTTCAAAGTGAAAACCCAGTGTTTGTAAGGTCCCCCGTTTGTAAGCAAAATGGAGGCAAATGACGCAATGGGTTGGGTACCTATGTATTATAACGACACGTTACCGAACGTAACCATGACTGGTGAGGTGGAGATGTTTGTGGAGATGCATCCAGTCTGGATCGCTACCATGTGCGTCTTCTACATCGTGGTGGGATTCCTGGGCGTCTTTGGTAACTGCATCGCTCTGGTGGCCCTGGCTACGACTCCCAAGCTTCGTAACACCTGCACGGCACTCATCGGCAATCTGTGCGTGACGGACCTAATTACCAGTCTCCAGCTGCTGTTCATGATGACTCCAACCCAACTCCTCAAAGGTTTCCCCGAGAACTTGCCGCTGTGCACGGCGGTCGTGTACCTGCCCACCACCACCTACAGCGTGTCGCTGACAACTCTCATGTTCATCGCCTTCAACAGGTACCTCCTGATCACCCGTCCGCGCACCTGCTACCGGGCCTGCTGCGGTAGCAAACAGGTGGTACTCATCATCGCTCTGATCTGGCTCATCAATTTCATGATTTTCATCCTGCCATCTATCACCGGTACACGGGAGGTGGTTTACGACCGCGAAGTCCAGGGCTGCCACGCCGAAACCAACTGGTTGGTTGGCACAATCATGATGTCCTTTTACGTCGTTGTTCCTGCGTTCGTGGTCGTACCATTGCTGTACGGGTTGACCATCTGCGCGGTGAAGGCCAGCCACCGGCGGGTGCACGCCCGTAGCACTGCCGGTGGTGTGGGCGAGCAGCCCTCGGCGCTCCCGCCTGGACATGACGGGGACGTCAGCTTGGTCTCCACCGTGTCGAACTCCGTGAACAACAATCTGGACGATAACGCGGCGAGGCATCCCCGCTCCATCAGCAAGCGAGATATCAACCTGACCCGGCTCCCCATCCTGATTTTCATTGTCTTCGCCGTGTGTTGGACGCCACAGCTCATTAACCACATCTGCAGTCGCTTCATGAAAGTATCCGTCTATTACCGTAAGGTTGCCTCGCTCTTTATATGGGTCAACTGCGCCATCAATCCGTACCTGTACGCGTGGTCCAACCGAAACTTCAGACAAGCTTACCGGAGGATTCTGAAGAACTTGAAGTCAAATTGCAAGGCTAGACTCTAAAACAAAATTATATGGCTAGACTCTTAACCATTGGGTTTATTGATAAAAAAAGACATGTTTGTTATGAAAATAGAGGGCAAATTTATAGTGTGATACAGCCAAGTGTGACGCACAAGTGAACAGGAAACAGACTTCACTTTGCTATGGGCGTCAAGAAGCCTCTTCACGACATGAGCAGGTAAAATGCTGTAAATCATTGGGGTGCTGTGGTCCAATGGTTACGGTGTTCGACTCGTGTGCCGTGATACATGGGTTCGAATCCTGACCGTAGGAACATGGTGCTTGTGCTCTTGATCAAGGCACTTTACCATTATTGCTTCGTCCTTCGGATGGGACGTAAAGCCGTAGGTCCCGTGTGTTGTGTAATGCACGTTAAAGAACCCAGTAACACGTATCGCTAAGAGAAGGGGTTGCCTGCCCCGGTGTTTCTGGCAGCAGCTGCAATGTGCGCCGCACCACCTTGTAAACCATTATAAGATGCTACATAATGGGTCTCATACTTCTCATAAACTTTATTTACCTTTCTTTAATAATAGACATAATCGCCAGCGCCTTGAGAATCTAATTGTTGGTAGATACGTGCGCTATATAAGATATAATTCTAACCTTAACCTCATGTGTACCTTCTTGGTCGTTACTAGCTTCATTGAAATGGTAGTGGCTTGCAAGTATTTTGAGTGTTACTAAAACAAAGAGGTAAGGGGATTTCTGCATTTAAAAGCTACTCTTAAATGAAAACGTAGGGCCTACAGTTTGTATGAAGTTCACTAAAAGAATGTTCCTTTGTTGTTGGTTGATTCGAATGACCTGCGGTAAAAGCAGGATATTAATGGCAAGAATCATGCAGACCATACGAGACTTTTTTCTCACAATGAATCTCATTTCGCGCAGCTGATAAAACAACTCGAGAAAAATATGTGAAACCGTATATAGATTCCATATAAATATTATTCGTTCATTATTATTTCATTATTTTAATTATATCAATGCTAAATTCACATTCGTGTGAATAATGCAGTCTCGCACGAGAGGTCAGTGCATGTTTTTCAGCAAATTGAAAGTTTGGTTACACTATTTTCAGACAGATCAGGGGCAAATTTCACGGCGCTGCTAAGCACAAACATTTGCTTAGCACAAAAAAAGTCTGGCTTATAAAAGCAGCTTATTAGCCAAAACTCCACGTGATGTATATTGCTCGTGATAAGCATTCTAGTATTCAGCTGTTGTTTGCTCGTGATAAGTATTCTAGTATTCAGCTGTTGTTTGCTTAGCATGAAAATCACATGGAGTTTTGGCTGGTAACCTGCTTTTGTAAGCTAGACTTTTTGTGCTAAACAAATTGTTGTGCTTAATAACAGCGCCGTGAAATTGGGCCCGGATGTGATATTTGTGCGAAATTTACTGTACATTTAAGCCCAGTTCATACTTCACGCGAAAGCATGTGCGAAGCGAAATTCATGTCGTCAACAATGGCGGACGCGCTTCGAATGTATTGTTGACGTCACGAATTTCGCTTTGAACCGGGCCTTAAATGATAAGACAATATTTTAAACAGACATAATGAGAGGTCCTGGATTAGCTGTTCCGCCTCTGCACGCGCGTCATTCGAAGTGGATACTGAAGTCGAAGGTCTTGCTTTCAAAGCAACGAAAATGAAAACGCAATTTATTGCTCATGCGGAAAACGTGAATAAGTCTGAAATGACATTGAAGTGTCAGTTAGGTGTTTCGGCGCTCACAGACCTCATGACTCGTTAAACAGACATAATGAGAGGTCCTGGATTAGCTGTTCCGCCTCTGCACGCGCGTCATTCGAAGTGGATACTGAAGTCGAAGGTCTTGCTTTCAAAGCAACGAAAATGAAAACGCAATTTATTGCTCATGCGGAAAACGTGAATAAGTCTGAAATGACATTGAAGTGTCAGTTAGGTGTTTCGGCGCTCACAGACCTCATGACTCGATAAGTACTTGTTCTACGCGACTGAAGGTCTTTCACAAATAGGCGAATAGCATGTCTGTACTCACAAAGTGCTAAAATACTACATACTTGTCTCCATACACAAGTACCACTTAGTAAAAGGGGGAAAATGATATAAGGACAGCTAATTGTTTATACAATGTTCCGGTCGCATCTAACTGAGCACAAAAAAGGGCCAAAATATCACAGGTTGTATACCAAGAGGAAAGTGATTTCAAATTTGTGATTACAAAAATAGATTTGTGATTACAAAAATAGAAGCAAGCATTAAAAATGTCGGACACTTTTGTTTACGGTTTCAAAGAAACATTTCGGTTTGCCTAACATTTTTATGTCAAGGCTCTTGCAAAAGAGGTTTAACGACAACTGTCGTATAAAGGAATCGATGGTTATTTAATATTCGGTTCTGTCCTTCGCCGTCGTAGTTTTTATAAGCACTTTACTCGGTGCTGCTCGAAACCTTTCGAGAAAATATCACTCTGTATACTCTGGTGGCAATCGAGCCCACGACAAATGGCTATACCAGTATCCTCATCATCATTGTCGTAATTTCTATTTTAATTGAACACTATAGTATAATAATTAATCATTCACGCCGATGGAGAAAAGATGATGCCTTTTTGAATGCAGCTGCAGATGATAATTTATTGCAAAATAGATGCTTCATAAAGTTAGAATTGTTTAAGGTTTTCTTCCAAAGAGATTAATGTGCCACTGTACAGTATTGACTCTTTATATTCATTTGCAATTCCACCAAATTTGTTCAACCTCGTGCGGATTGATTTCCCAATTTTGAATCCCCCAGTGGCAGACTGGCCCGCAAACGAGATATTGAACGCTCGGGCTTTTATGTGAACTCGCGCCTATATCAATAGACTATCATATATACAGATATAGATGAGCCGGGATCCCAGGGCGACTTCGGTGGCGTCAAGGCGGAACAATGGTGATATATTGCAGTAATTATACCAAGGGTATAATGGTTAGGCCTTTTATGGACCGAGGGTATAGCGTCCACTTTTGGTAACTTGTTTTTAGATAATTGATTTGCCTGATGGGCCCGTAGACGTTGCTAGGATAAAGCAAAGAAGATCCATCACCCCTCAGCAGAAATTTCGGGCAAGTTCCGAATGTGGGAAACTAATGGGTATTAATAGCATCAGCGAGTGGTTCATATGACGAATAAACGCGCGGATATGCCGCCAGAGAAATTTGTATATTCGATATTCGTAATGTGTTTATGCTTAATTGGGCTGAAAACAGTACGCCAAAGAGAATATGTAAAAAGTGTCATTTGCTGCACAGTATAGCCCATTAACAAAAAATTCCTGTACTGATTTTTTTTTATCAATAACATTTCTGGTCACCTGTATTAATGATGGTTATCACATTTATTTAGTTGTTCTATGTTATTGCAAGCAGTGTATAAATCACCCAACATTACCGGCACAAGAATAATTATGTCCAAATTTGTATGTAGAAATAGAAAATAACATCGGCACATTGTCATCAAAATGATCAAACTAATGTGGTATCAAAAAGGTATGCTGTTAAAACAACATAGATAATTACTGAAATTCTGTATGTATAGCTCTATTTTTATAGCTGAGGGGGAAACACGCTTATCGGAGCTAACACGGATATTACAACAATCCTGATTAAACGTTATTCATATAAGTCAGTTGCACTCGGCCGACCCCATTGGAGTTAAATTTGACTGTTTCCCGTCAAATCTGTCTAAAGGTTGAAATGGTGCAAGTAGTGCCCCTGGGTCCCAGTGTTTGAAAAACACAGCGTGAAAGAGGGAAAAGGAAAACATTTTGTTTTTTTAGTATAGCTTATTTTGTTATAAAGTAGCATTAATTGAAGCATCGACAGTTCTCTTGTAAAACCTCGGTCGATAACTTGCCTCCTGGTATAAATTGAATCCGCTGTTCCCGTCCAAACGATGTGATGTCATGGAATGTGCAGGATTCCTTAAATTATTGAATTTAAAAAATGCAGGATGTAAATAGATTTGATTTGAACTCGAGATGGTGCTGCTTTCATTTTGTTGGCGTATAGATATTACGGCACCTGGTTCTCCACTTTGCTCCTAAACAGTATACTTTGACACATTCAAATTGCGTAATTGGCGCCTTGTCACGGTATACCCTCGCGGGGAAACAGCTGGATCTTGTTGCAAGTCTAGTCTGCTTGCGACAATGTATAGTGTGTAATTATTATATGGTCCACTTTAAAGGTAATAGTGCAATTTGCTTTTTTTGAGTATATTTGTGTTGGTTTGAAGAAACTCAATTGCTCAAAAATCTGTTTTGGTGTGCATAACAACTAACCTGCTGAATTTTTAGCTGAGTGGCTATTTTACGTTTTCAGAAAACAGAGACACACATTATATTGGGTCAGTGTTCTTATTCCTCCATGCTTAAAATGGATTCCGTTTTTAAAGTACGTAAAAAAATGTGCCCGTGGGCACCCACCATTTCAGGTGGAATAATTTCACAGCGGTACTCGGTACCAGTCCTGTCTTCACTTTGAGCAAATTATTTCTTGTTACATCGGTAGGCACGTTTCCGGCTCCGTATGTACCAATGTTCCTATACGTGCCTTTAAAGTCTATACGTAATGTTGTACATTGTATGTAGAATGAAGACTTTTTAACCCCAAAACGCGCAGGTTATGCGTTACTCTCCATGGGTGCATACCTATGTTCCCCAATGTTCCCAAACCCTAACCCTAACCCTAGTGGCGCACCCAGGATTTGTTGCCCCAAATTTTGGCCGCAGAAAAAAATTGGAGGTTTTTGTGGGGGGGGGGGGGGGGGGGTGGGGGTGGGGCGGACTATTTTTACGTTGGTGGCGACACTTACACCCCTATTATACTACTCGAAAATAGGCCACATACATAATCACCAAGGTCAAGTCGTAGGACTAAAAAATAAAATTACAAAAAAAACCAACCATCTAATCTAACCCTAACCCTACGGATGAGGAACTAGTATTGGGAACATTGGGGAACACGGGTAGACCCACTTTCAGTAAAGGTATTGGCAAGGTTATAATCATTTTCATTCTGGGCGTTATTATTTTCTCCCTGAATTAAATTGCTTAATCCAAATCATGAAAAACTTTAATATTGAAGGGCTCTTGATGAAAATCAGGAGATAATCTGGCCTCATTCAGTTTTTGGACTTTTTTTTTAATACTGTGAATCGATGGGTAAAACAATTCGT